CGCTAATGAGCAAAGAAGTATGCTATTAAGTTTCTCGTTCTCAGGATTTATTTTTTTTCTAACAAATTCTGCAGCAGAGAATTTTGAAGAAAACTTGCAAACAGATATTTCATCTTTTAATACCCTTAAAAATATCGTTGACAAATAATTACCCCTAAAAGACACCGAAAAGATATATAGAAAATTTTACCATTCAAGGAGTGTTTCGAACTGCAAGATGAAATTAGGAAAAATATTAACGAGAGAAAAATCAGAACGGTCGAAATCGGAATTACTCAACTGAGCTTGAGATGATAGTGCCAACAATTAGCCCAAGTTAGTCAAGTACTTGCTACGAGAAAAATAGAAGAGCTGAACAATCAGGCAATTGGTCTTATTTTTAGCGTTGCTTGGGAGCTAAAAGTAGATTAAAACTAATACACAAAATTATTGACAACAAAAAAATCATTCAAAAGGGACGCCGCTTACATGAAAAAATTACAAAAAAGATTTTGCCCTTTAAAGCAAAACGCTTTTTTTGCGCTTTTTAATGAGCTTACATTTCGAACATAGACTACGTTGTTGAAATTTTGATTTTGATTGTGATGGAATTAAAATTGAAGAACACTTCAATGAAACTCAAAGGCCCACATAGCTAACACATTTTTAGCAGGGACCAAATATAAGGCAAAAAATAACGCAAAATATACATTGATTCGACGCAAACTAAAAAAAGCTCCGGAAAAAACAGATCAGTCTTTTCTTATTGCACAGTATAAGGTTTCAACCGCTTACATCTTTAATCCGATGCTTTTATCTTTCTTTTTGTTTTCAGTGACATTCTACGCATAATTTTTTTGATATTAAGTTTCTTTTTGCAAGATGTTTTTTGCTTTTTATATAAAAGTAAGCTTCGCTGAAAAATGATCGAAAGCCAAAATGGAATCACTCAACTGAGTTTATTGTCTTAGCAAGCACACTTACGGCCGTATCCCGCAAACTTCAAAGTGAAAAAGAGAATAAAATTTCTCGGTTCGGCAGCATGTTTTCATTGTGAATTCGTAGAGAAAATAAAACTGAAGGACTGAAAGTTAGCTTGCTCGGAGAAAGCTAGCGAATTTTTCCAATGTTGGAGTTAAACGCTAACTCCATCAAGACTTTAATTTTTTGATTTTGTTTTGTTTTGTAAGAAAACATACATGCAAGTTATCGTAAAATTGGACATACTAGAAGTTTTCACCCAATCAGAAACACTTTTTTTCAAAACTTTCCATATTTTGGAGTCATCACACAAATTTAGTTGCTCGTGATCCTTTTGTCCGCTTTAAAACCGGAAAAAATTCAAGCTTTGATCTAGAGGTATGGGTGGAATGTTTAATTCTACCTGCTGGCATGGGCTTTCAATCAATCGAATCAGCCTCTTTTTAATTGACAGGGCAAAATGAATGGCCAGTCTTCACTTACAAACAAAGCTAATTTAGGAACTGCAACAGTTAACTCGATTACCATGGTGATCTCTTTAAAGATATTTACGACACTTCGGGCAGCTGCTTTTGATGATGCCGAATGTCATAACTATGCTAATACACATCTCAAATAATTTTTCAGCTACAGTGATGACAGATGCTCGACATTTAAATTTTTGAAGACAACCAGCATTTGGTAACTTAATTTTTTTTTGCAATAAAATTTGTGATCCAAAACATAAGCTCTTTGTTAGAAAAAATTCAACTTTATTGTTCCGACTTTCGATACGAAAGTAACGGAATATTTGTGCTCGGGGTGGGTTTTTTTCTCTTCAGACAAATTTCGACTTTTTAACTAGCCATTTTTGACAGAATTTTTTTTTATCATTCAAAAGGTATTATTGACCTGAGCTTAAATTTGAAAAGATATTTCACCTGTGATCTTTTTTCGTAAAGTTATGAGGGTTTAAAGATTGCCATTTTGGCAATTTTGACCAATTTGGGACAATTACCGCGCGATATAATTCGCGCTATTAACGCGTAAGCGGAGATTTACTCCGTCTTATAAATCGTTCCAAATTGGTTGAACGAAGCTTATTTGCCATAAATGATGTGTTACAAGGAACGAAAACTATCTTCTTGTTCTTTATATGGCGTGTGGGGGGATGATTTTCATAAAAAATTTCAAATTTTAGAAAAAAAAATTTTCAGTTTATTTTATTTCATATAATGTTTTTATGTTATTACTGCGGCTCCATAAACCTTCAAAAGCATTCGGAACATTCAGGACTTCGCCCTGAAACGAGCAGTCTTGTTGATGTTTGTATTTGTTTGGGGCTTTTTTTTTAATACAGCTCGAAAAGTCTCTGTCAAGAAGCAGTAAATACGTCAAATGACTAAGATTTAGACTAGATAACTTATTGTGAGCTTTTAAGCGATCAATTTATTGAGTGAAACAGTTATTTGAGAAACAATTATCATCTTTTTTTATTTAGAGTTTTTTTTCAGCGTTTACAAGTCAGATAATTGTTGGCTGAGAATATTATGGTGTATTTGTTAGTTGCAAGATTAAGTTTGTAATTGGATACTCAAGTAGTAATTAGTAATAGCAGTTTGTACAGTGTTCGCTTTGGTGTTCACATTTTACTAGGAGTTGAACTGTTGGGGATTGAAATTGCGAAGGAGTAAATTGAGCACAAAAATTAAGCAGATTTTCATCGATTGGCTCGAGAAAAAAATTAAAACAAATCAGTTTTTCTGATTTCATTAGGTTCTCCAATGAATGGCCGCGCATGGGGACAAACGAAACATCACGTAGAAACCCCTACAATCGTAACTCCAGCTTTTATTTTATAACAAGACTTTTAAGATTGTGTGACGAGAAAATGTGTTTTTTGTGTGTTTTTCGCAGGACTTAATTGTTTGGAGCATTGCGCTTCACTCAGATAGCTATTGGCAGTTTTTTCTGCTACGACCATATACTAGCAGCAAATATCTATTTCGAATGTTTTTTACTCTCAATAAAATTCACCCGACAAACCGCTGCATTGAAATCGCATGAATTAAAATTATAAGATAAATTGAAAATGTTCACCAATATTGAGAAACAACTGCTGGCTGAGTTGAGTTTCTCTTTGAAAAAATTTGTCAGAAAAAATTTTCGTTTGCCTGAAACAAAAATAAAAGGTCGGCAAAGCTGAATTTAGCGCCGAACGGTTCAATCAAACCAGGGTAAGATTTTCGAGAGAGTGTGTCGGTTTTTCATAAAATGGAAAATTTGGTAAAACTTTTTTCAACGCCGAGGACTGAATTGATTTGAGTGAATTTAGAAAATCTTCGGCGTCCATCAGCCAAAAATGGATATCTCAAAAGACAAAAAGGGAACTTTTGAGTCGGCAGGGGGTCGAATCTCTGAAAAGAAAGTGTTCGCCTCACCGCTACTCCAAAATCCGCTATTGAATCAAACATTTACCATGCTTTTCGTTTTGTTCAATTTGATGTATTGCACAATGGTCAATTTGATGTATTGCAAGCATTTTTAAAGTATCTGAATATGTATCAAACAAGTACCTTTGGCCGTTTTCAATCTCACTTCTTGAAATTGTCGAAACAACACGAATAGCTTTTGTAATTGTTTGGTAATCAAACATTTACAAACGCTATTCGTGTTTTTCTGACAGTTTCAAGAAGTGAGATTGAACATAGCCAAAGATAATGTTAGATACAAATACAGAAACTTCAAAAATGCTTGCTTTGCATCAAATTGACAGTTGTTTTAAAACTCTTCAAAATATTTCCCAGCGAAAGTTATTTCAGTGTCGAGAAAAGCTGATTGGAATAATTTTATACCTCAAAAGTGAACAGACCAGTAGCTGATTTAGCAGCGGTCAGATGCACGCATTCTTCTCAGAGACTCGATCTCTTGACCACCTAATAATCCCTTCCATCACGAGGCCAAACTGTGCATTTTGTAAATTGTAAGCGGAATCCGCCTAAAGGAGGCCCTCTTTGTTGTTTTTTTGTTCTTTCATTTCCTCTGATCGTTCCGACAAAATTTTAACATGTTTAAAGACTTGTCTCTGGAATCTAGGAACATACAGACATGAAATTGTGCGCCTATCCAGTGCACAGTTTGGCCTCGTAACGTCTTTGGTACTATATTTTGCGAAATCCATTTTCAGCTGTCCAACTTTAAATTTTTTCGGAGGCGCGTTTGGCTCGTTTTTGAGATTTGCTGAACAAAATTTGAGAAGAACTCAGAAATTCAATTTAGTCAAGATAAGTTTTATCTTAGAATTGGATTTAGTCTTCAAACACGACAAACTTATTTATAGCGACATTTAACATTTAATACACTTAATTAACATAGATATTACACAAATTAGTGACATTTAGACCTGGGTAACATAAACTAAATGGACTATTACACTCTACGAACATTTACATACAGAAAAAGAAGCGATTGGGAAAATGGTACATTGATATAAAGACCACCAAAAGTTGCATTTAATTTAAATTTGCAGAAGCTGTTTAAAAAGCAGACAGGTCTAACAGCCAAAAGGGTTTGAAAGAAGCAACATAGAAAGTAATTTTTGAAAAACATTAATGTTTCCTGGAGCTGGCTCTCAGAAAATATTACTGTTTTTTTACTTTTGAGCTCAAAAATCTCAAAAAAAAATAATTTTTTTTTTTTTTTCATTTTTATTGATTTTAAATTGAAATTTTGATTTAATTTTGGATCCAATCTGCCGTTAGTCCAATCTGCTAGTTTTTTTTTGCATTACCTCAAAGCCGTATAAATCCGATAAAAGAGCTGTTTGCGCTACAAATACCGTTGGCGCCTGCAGAAAAGTTACAATCAAATTAAATTTGTTTGAACCAAAAGTTTGAGGAAAGTCTCTATATTCTAATTACTGTGGTAAAAACAACCATTTTCAACGCAATAGAGAAAAATGGAATATCTATCAAAACATATCGTGGAAAAATTTTAATCAGCAGTCGCTGTTTAACTAACGCCGCTTTGTTGAAACTAGTTCAAACTGAAAACAAGCTTACCGATGGTTGGGATTTGCTGGTGGATGTTTTGTATTTGTTGTAAACTTCGTTGTACTGTTTTTGCACCTAAAAACACAGAATCCTTTTAGTTTGATTAACTGTTCAATCATCTATATTAAATTTTTTAAGAGAAATTGCATCAAAAACGCGAAAAGCGCAAAAAAGGAATACTAAAAAATCAGGACATTAAAAGAGCATTTACTAAATTAGACTTATTACATGAAAACAATTGATTAAAAGCCCTTATATGCGTCTGAGAAAAAAAATAAGCCCAGAAATTTTTTATGGCAATTGTTTTTTCGCTATTATCACTTAAGAAGAAAAAGTGTTGCAAGATTCTGTTTGCAATCTCACATCCTGACTCGATAAGGATTTTTGGCGGATGTGAAGTTAGAAAAAATTCAGAGAAACCTTGTTAAGCATTTCCTCTTGATGTTCGAGAGCCACTTCGATTTCGTCCTTGGCAGACTTCTTGTTGGTCTGTTTCTTGCTCTGCACCAGGTCATAGAGCGGCACTGAAACCTCACTGGCCAGAAATTTAGCCAATGACATGTCCTCCTGAACATATTTTTTTTTGAAAAAATTAGGGCGATTTATACATTAGGAAAATGTACGAGCTGTTAAGCTTTCGAGCTGTTAAACATGCCAGTAACTTACAAGCTGTTCATTTATTTTTACGTTGAATCGTTTTTTGGCCCTGTAGTTAAGGATTATTTGAAATTTTATGAATCTTTTCTGGGGTCGATTTTCAGAAAATGTTTACTTGGATGACGTTAAAAGAGTGACGTCTTTTGAAAAAACGCTACTTCTGCGAAAACCCCGAATTTTTGTTAATTTAATACTTTTAAATCAATGATCATTCTTGCAGAGACAAAAGCTCTTGCGATCAAATAGGCGTGTATCATAAATGTTTGCAATGTAATTAACATTTTTCTCAAATCTTGCAACTGCGCCTGTAGATTAGTAAAGTAATTGCATCATCTGCTCTATCTGTGACGTTTGGAATTACATAACTTTTGAAATTACCTCGGCTCTCTTATCGAACTCTTTCGTGAGGGCTTCCCAGGCAGTTAACAAGTGCATCGGACAATCAACTCTGAAAATGAAAAATGTTTATTCTAGCTCAAACGTCAAAACTTTTCAAATACATCTCAATTTTTGCCAAAAATGGGTATTTGGAGCGTGAGTAAAGAACTGAGTTATTTTCTTATAATGTTCGTTTTTTGTGAGTTTTGAAAAAGTTTCGTTACAGTTTGTAATCTTTTTAACATCTCCCGGTTTCCTGCTTAATTAGTTAAGATTAACGTGTTGTTCAATATTAAACAGAAGTTTTATGTTGAGTTATATAAACATTATATTATGGAATAAAGTTATATTAGCTGTTAGAAGTAGCTAACAATTGAAATCAACAGGTCTTTTGTCAAAGATGTTTTTTTTCCATTAATGTAAGTATTTTTTTCCAAATATAAGAAATGATTGCTTTGATATTATGAATAATATAGAAAAATGTTACCTCTCCTGAAGAAACTGTTCGTGTGTGGGTCTGTATGATTCCATGAGTGACTGCAGTTGAAATGCATTCGCTTCCAAAGTAGTCGCAAGACGCTGGGAGAACTCGGCGACTGAAATTTAAACTCAGCTGATAAACACAGTTTTGAACAAAGATAGACAGTTGCTGTGTAAATAGAAGAGAACGTTCCGACCACATTAGAAAAAAAATTACAAGAAAAATTTTTGTCATTACGAGGCCAAACTGGGCACTGGATAGGGGCACAATTTTAGTTTCTTTAACAAGTTTTTAAACATGATAAAAATTTTTCGGAACGATCAAAGAAAATGAAAGACTAAAAAAAGAACAAAGGGAGCGTCCTTGTTGCGGAATCCGCTCGCAACTTACAAAACGCACAGTTCGGCCTCGTAATATTTGTCTTTTTTGTCTTCAATTTAATGTCGTTCTTGTGGATGTTGTGATACAATTAGTAAATTAGGCATAATCAACAACAGTTGTCTTCAACATTGAACAACAAACAAACAATATGAAGAATTTTCAAAAACTTTTCCTACATGCTTAAACTTTTTTTTAGAAAACTATTAATGCCAAAGAAGCGCTAAATGGAACATCCATACTACTTTATTCAGCAGTATCAAGTTTTTTTCCAAATCAATTATTTTTACATTACAAATTTTACTTACTCGACGCTTTACTAGCTCAAAGTTAGAAACTTTCAAAAATTCAAAGTTTTTTCTCGACACTGCAGCAATTTTTTGAAAATTTTGTCTTCAATGTCGTCCTATCAGATTTTTATAGAAAGGACCCATTCCGAGTGTTGCTTGTGGTACCTTATTTTGCCTGGAAAATAAAACAAATGAATTAAAGTCTAAAACACACCCAAATGCAAAACTCTTCTGCATTTTGAACTGTCGGGACAATTAAGAGCATTTCTGAATAAAAAATGCTGAATAAATTTCAAAAACGAAGCAAATTAGGCTCAATCAGAGAAAAACAAAACGCTTCGAACGAGCTCGGTGTCAAATTATTCAGGCATCGTCAGGCCCTGTATAACTCCGCTTCTTGGTACCTGAAACTCTGCTGCTTCATAATATTGTTCTGCGGCTTTCTGCAATATGGTTTTGATACAAAATGGGGTAAATATTTAGTTTTTGACGTTCTAAGCAAGTTTTTTTTTGAACAAAATTTGTGGTACTTTTTCTTAGCAGAAAAGTGTGAGCTGAAAAATTTATTGGTTTTGGTCAAAGTTACCAAATTTTATAGCATTTTCCTACGATTTCGATAGCTGGGGTTAGATTGCATTTTTTAAGTTTTTCTTTGTTTTAAAAAAAAAAACATTTTTTGATTGTTTAAAAAAAAATTCTTTAATCTTTGCGGCCGGAACATTTTTTGAAAATTGCATAGCCAATTACTCCTCTTTTTCCATTTGCCATTTTTGTTCAATGTTTGGGCATCGATATTTTGTTGGATTCATATTTTGACCATATCGACTTTCTTTTCGACCTTGACCTGATTATCCATTCTTTCAAGATCAGCATTATTTGATCCTGGCAATTTGTATGACATCTTCGGTGGAAACTTGAAACACAAGCTTGAACCAATTGACGTGCTAACAAATTAGATAAGTTGTAAATAGATTTTTAATTTTGAATTTTCCTTCCATTAAACTTTATATGTCAGACACAACTTTAAAACAGTAAGAACAACTTTAAAAAAATCTACGCAATAATTGGAAACTTCCTATCAAAAAACAGGTTTTGCTGAAAATGCATTAAGAATTACTTGCTTGCGCCCAAAATTTAACATATCATGACGGCATATTTGAAACACAAAAACTACAATTTTAGTCCCGCATTTTTTTTCTTCAAAATGAATAGACACTAAGTTTAACGATTCAATATTAACTTATCGATAGAGCATGACTGGTTTGTTGCTGATTTATTAATGAAACTGCTGATCATCGCTGAACCAAATTTAACTCAAAAATCTGAGTTTTAGTCAAATTCCGAGAAGCAAATGAATTAACCGCCCAAACAACAGGAAATGCCAATTTTTTTCACTGCTTTGTATGTAAATTTGGATTTGCTGCAGACCTTTTTTGTCAGAAATTTTCATTTCTTACTAGACAAGAAGTATGCACATACTTTTCATATTTGGAACTAAGTTTGAGCATAGTAAGCGATTTGTTTAATAGTTTTGTGATAAACGTGGGATTGGAACTTTTTTCCTGAGAGACAGGGGCGGATCTGGAATTTTCTTGAGGGAGGGGGGGGGGGGCGGATTGCCGGATTTTAAAAATTTCGAAAATTTAGGGATTTTTTTGAGCCCTTCCAAAGCCGTAAAAAAAGACCCTGCTTTGATCAATTTTTCTGCGCCGCAGGCAAAATTTTGAAAAAATAACAGGCCAAAAAAGGCATTTTTAGGCACTTTTTGAAAAATTTTGACCAATAAATCACGTTTTTTTCGGCGCTCGCTCCCTCCTAAAAATTAGTATACATTGGCGCCAAAGGCGCTTGTAGAAAAATTTTTGGGTCCGTCGACCAAAAATGGGTATCCCAAAATATTACAAAGGTGGGACTTTTTGGGTCGGCAGGGGGTCGAATCCCTAAGGGGAGAGGAAACGTTCCCCCCCTAAATCCGCCCCTGCTGAGAGATACAAAGAATTTTCCTCTTACCCAATGGTTTAACAAAGATCGTTTCCAAAAGTATTCGAAAAGCTGAAACTTTCAGTATTTTAATGCTAAAAACTTTCAGATAATTTCGGTAATTCGATATATTTTTTGCATCAAAGTTGTCTGTTGGTTCAATTTGAAACTGAAATTTTTGATATGATGATATAAATGGTTCAAAAATCATTTCGCAAAAAACTGATATCTTTATCGCTGAAGTCTGATCAAAACATGAGCCTAATTGTTTAGATTGCCATCTTTCATCGAAAGCAACGAGAACGAGTCTTAAAAATTCTAATTGTCCTTTAAACTGACCTTGAAATAATTTTGCTACAAAAAGTTTTCTAGAATTTTGAAAAATAGATTGAAAAAGTAAAGAAAATGAAATTGCTAATTACAAATGACATACTTATTGTCTATTACCGCATAAATTGTACGAATTAACCCGCCTGGTTTTAATTTGTAATGATTTGTAAACTGGTATAGTCGACCACCTACGCTGCAATAGAAAAACAAAACGTAGCGCATGACCTCAAACTCTCGAAACTGAAATTTATCAATCCTCAGTAACTTTATTTATTGGATGATACAAAAATGCATACGACTTGTTGTTCTGCTTTGAATGTCTAAATTTATCTGAAGAAAACAAAATGCAAATTGAGCTTCACGACAAGTTTTATAACTGTGCTCGATTTCTTACAAAAAAAAATCTGAAAGGCGGGTGGGTGATTGACAGAACTTAAAGTTGAACAAAAAACAGGAATTTCACAAATGTAATGTAAAATTACATACCAAGTTCGAATTGCTTTTTAAAGTTATCTTCCATTAGGGCAATAATAAGAGAGTAGAAATGCAGCAATCGAGGAATTAGTACGGTAAAAATTAATCGCCCCTGAAATGTAATCAGGAGCGTCTATAAATGCAGTTTGTCTGATCCAATGCGTCAACTGCAGGTTAAACCTCCCTTAAGTCTCAAGATTGATGAGGCGGACATTTTTATTGGCATTTTATTATCATTAGTGTCCTGCTTTTTGCCCTTGGGCGGTGATGTGCAAACGGATAAGTGTTAGGAATCTTTCGTTTGCCTCGAATTTGAGAAAAAATTGAACATTAAATTTGTTAATTTGAAGCATAAGGCGATCAATATTTTTTCCTTTTATAGAATACTGAGTTGCGGCTTTGTTCTAATAAAAGAAAAGAAAGTCTATCTTGAAACTGTTTCTTCTAGCGGCTAAGTCAGCTTCCGTCACCCCAAATTGGCCTAGTACAACTCTTCTACACCCTTACTATTTAAGGTTAAAATTGCTCAGCGTTGCGTGTATAATACATTCTACTGATTGGCTGAAAAACCCAATTTAAGAACCAAATTAAAGTCCATCCCCCTAAAGCGCCGTAGGGGTTAGATGTTATAACTTGATCCCTTATGTAGCAAATCGGTTTAAAGCATATTAGTTGTGATGTTACTGTTCATGGAATATCAAACAATTAAAAATCGTAGCAATTATAGAAACGGATTTTTTTCTACAAAATGGGTCGATGACCCCGGATAACTCTCATAAATATAGTGACATAATTACGCAACATAATTCCAAAAAGTTTCGCGATTTTCCGTGGTAAAGGTGTTATAATTATTTTTTTGTTATAAATGTTATTCGGCAAATAGAAATGCGATATAAAATGCAAACTTTATGCTGAAGTTTGAAAAAAAAAAATGAATTGAAAAACGAACAATGAAAAGCGTGAAACAAAGTCACACTTTGAACTTAATACTGAAAAATTTGAACTTAATACCAAAATGTGAGAAAGTTGCAAGTGAGTCTTCTGCCTTCCGGTTTGCGCCAAGAAGCGGGGAGCATCCTGGATGGTTTAAAAAACACGAGCTTCCCCCAGACCCTTCGTGCACTGAAACCCAATGTTCCGAGCTGCCTCCGAGTTTGTTCCGATTGATCTCAGTTTGCGACGTTGAGGACTTCCGACGTCGAAAGGAGCTGGATTTGAGGCTGAAACTGCGTTCTAGTTTCCTTAGCACTTCGGAACCGCTTCGGGACCTGTTGATTTTTGGCATCCCTGGCGACGAATGGACGACTGGCGGGGCGGGAGCGGAGTAAAGGTAATTTGTGCTCTGTGGGCTAAGACGGTTCAGTTGCAACATTGAATTCGGACCTTCTTCGTCGGGAAAAGAAGCCCATTCTTGAGTTCTGGACCGCGTGAAAACTTTTCCAGATAACGATCGAAACATTTCGATTCGTGGAATTAAACTTGGCTAATTATAAGATGTCAATTATAAGTAGGAGTAGGATAATTATTAACCGGTCAAAAAAAATTTTTTCAAAGTTTTCAATTGTTGTGGTTAATAATTGCAGACAATTTAAAAAAATAGGGATCTTATTCAAAGTAGAGAACAAGGTTTTTAGTCATAAGACGTCTGGGTTTTGATCGTATG